CCCAGTGAAGGGACAGGGGGTTCAGCCCTGGGGGTGCTGCTGCCCCTGGCCACAGTCCAGGCCAGGGCAGTGGTGCAGGACACTGGCAGATCAGTGGTGTTTGTCTCCTGCAGCAGGGCCAGGGGCAGGGAAAGGTGAAGGAGTCAAGGGGGTATTTTCAGTGCTGGAGGTCCCTCATGGCCTTCTCTTCATGCCTTAGGTTGGAAATGAACGTCTGCTCCGAGCAGCAGGAAATTCTGGGAAAAAGAGAGAAAGTGCTGGACTGACACCAGCCCTGGCAGCTGTACTCCCCAGCACCCATCATACCCCAGGAGGGAGACGGGATTGGCACGTGGCTCTGCCAGCCCCTGTGCCTAATTTTCACCCTGGCAGGCTCTGGAGGCATTTCACAGCCACTGTGGTGACACCCCTCTGGGGTTTCCCTAAGGCTCCCCACCACAGGGGCTCTCTCCGCTCCCCAGGACCCGGCACAGCTCCTTCCACAGGGGCTGACAGGCTCCCATGCCCTGCAGGGAGCAGCTGTGTCCCACCTCACAGCATCCCAACAGACATTGCCCATGGGGCAGGGAGGGGGCTGGGGGCTGACACTGCTGCTAAAGATGCTATAAAAAGTGTCATGGGAAATTGAAGCCCCGGGTTCAAGAACTGGAGAAGGATGTGATGCTGCCCCAGGCATCCACCGTGCAGATGGGAAAAGCAGGGCTCTGGTTTGCCACTGGGCTGTTGAGATCACCCTCCTGCCTGCTCCCACCCAGCATGGCTGTGGGAACTGGATTTGGAGCTGAGATGGCTGGCAGGGGCTCAGGGGTGGCAGGATGGTCCCCAGCTGGGCCCAGGTGCTCCCCCTCACTCACCTGGTGGAACCTTACGAAGGTATTGAGGAGCCGTATCCTGTCGGGCAGTGGCAGAGGGAAACCCTCATCTAACCGGGCTGGAAAAGACAACACATAGCTGCATTGGGATGGGAAGGGGAGTGAAGGGAGCACTGGCCACGCAGAGAAGGCAGCCACCTCCTCCCCCCAGCCCCTTCCTTGCCTCTGCTGCTCGCAGGGCAGGCAGAGGAAATTCCTCCCAAGCTCCACGGCAGGGCTGGGGGCTGCGTGTTGTGCCATGACAGCCCCCTGGGCCCCTCCAGCCGCCAGCCCCGCTCTGGTCTGAATTGCAGGAGAGGCAGGAGAAACAGGGAGTGGGGGAGAGGGTCTGGAAAGCATTAAGATATGCATAGGGCTCATTTTTTCCATTGCGTGTGCTGCTGAGAGCATGTCACAGTGGCAAGAGGATCCCGCCGCTTCACAGCCACCTCCTGCACGCTCTGTGGGCTTTACCCCTGGATCAGCCTTGGCAACAGGGATTTAATTAGTGAGCTGGGACCACTTGAATGGAGCAACCCGACTGGAGGCTGCTCCAGCACCCCCATTCCCCCCAGCAGGTTCTTACCATTAAGACGGGGGAGCAGGATATCGGAAGCAAAGATGTTCATTATGGACTGCAGCAGTCGCACCTGAGGAGCGGGGAGAGGGGGAGGAAAAGCTTTAGCCTGCAGGACAAGAGATGTGCAAGCACTGGAGGATAATTAGGAAAAGAAAAAGGGATGAGGAGTCGGGATGAGCACACACTTTGCCAGAGACCAGCAGCCTTGTCTGGCCACACTGGCAGGGTAGGAAGTGCGGGGTGAGAGCAGCAATGGATCTGGCTCTGCATCCTCTCCCAGCCTTGCAGGCTGAGGCAGGATCAGTGTGGGGTCCTGAGTGCACCCCCAGGTCCCGTGTTGTGGGGCAGGGGAAATGAACTCTCTCCTTAGCCCCCAGCAGGCTCTCAACTCCATACTGGGGACTCTGGTCATGCTCAAGGATAACTTACCTGGAAAGTGCCGACAACAGAGTCCTTTAGAGAGAGCTTGATCCTGCACAGGGACAGAAGTGGTGCTGTGGAGGATGTCCCAGTGAAGGGAGCAGGGATGTCCCAGTGGAGGGAGCAGTTCCACCCACTGATGGCCATGCAGATCCTGCTCCCTCCAGCCTCAGCTCATTCCCTCCACACCAGGTCCACATCCCTGGGACCTCCCCACCCACTCTCTGTCCCTGGGAGCCCAGAACAGAAACA